TGAAAACCACCCGCCCTCAATCCGCGAAACGATTGCAAGCGTTTCAAATGAATGCGCGCGAATCTAAAGCGAGAACCGCACTTTGAACACCACCCGCCCTCAATCCGCGAAGTCTAAACGAATGAGCGCGGCGCTCACGCGAAAACCACATGTTGGAAACCACCCGCCCTCAATCCGTGAAGCTCATGCAATGTTTTAAAGCGAACGTGCGCGGAGCTAAGGCAAGAGCCACATTTTGAAAACCATCCGCCTGTCATCTGTGAAACTGTTGCCATTCTGTAAGCTTCAGAATCATAAGCGGTGAGAAGTCTCAAGCGAGACGCCCGGCGGCCCGCCCGAACTGGCCTCGGGGTGCGACAAGGAGAAGTTATTTACAAGGAAACGGAATGGAGAAGGAGGATTTCGCTACCCGGATCCCCACAGCTGCGAAACGCGCACCGTGGCGACGAAGCAAAGCGTCTCCTACAGTCAAAAACCCTAATAAGGACGCGCTGCAAGGACGCAAGACCCTTGGAAACCGAAGTTGGGATTTTTGGGGCGGCGGACGACGAAAACCCCAAGGACGCAAGAGCAAGGAAGAGCAAGGACGCAAGGGTACCCTGAGTAAAGTCGCGCGTCCTTATTCGGGTTTTTGACTGTACCCCAGGTCGTGCCTGGGCGACAAGGTTCGGCTTTCACAACATGCACCCAGCTGGAACATCAACTGCCGCGTGCCCCACGGCGGCAGCGAGCTCCGCGCGTCGCCGCGGGCCCTCCCGCCTCGACCCCGCGGGGGGGTGAACCGCCGTGGGAACTGTGAGCCCCAGGGAGAGGAGAGAAGAAGGGAGAGGGAGGAGACGAGGAGAAGGAAGAGAGGAGGAGGGGAGGGGCAAAGTCCCACAAGGGCTTACCCCCCTCCCCCGGGGAGACGCGCGACCCCTCCCGCCTCCACCGGTCCTGCGGCCCGGTCTCTGGCTCTACTTAATACCCCGCCGATCCAGGCGGCGCCGACCGCCCCACTGGTTCCACCAGTGGGGGGTGCCCTGGCTATCCCCGAGTCAGTGACGGGGCCCCTGCTATCCAAGCAGGGGGGGGGGGGGGGCATGGGAAGGAGGAGGAGGAGGAGGAGGAGGAGGAGGAGGAGGAAGAGCAGTCGCGCCCACCCGCCAGCGCGAGAACGGTGAGCACTTCGCGAGAGCGCTCCGCCCAGACCTGGGTCCCCCACTTGACTCATGACGGCGAGCGAAGGGGGGGGGGAAGTGCGAGGGAGAGGGCCTTCCCAGCAGGCTCGGAGGTCCCCGGGCCTTCTGCAATTGTTTCAGGGCCTTCCCAGAAGACAACAAACAGCAGAACTTCTCGGAGGGCGCCAGGGCCTCTGAGAAGTCCCGCCGCCCTCTGAGGAGGTCTTCTCCTTCTCATGTCCTCCTCTCGCTCGCAGCCGATCCTGGGAGGGGCCTCCTGGTCTTGGCCCCCCCCCCCATGGCCTTTGCGAAACTCCTCTCCCTGCCGAGGGCCAGACTGGCCCCTGTAGCACCAGACATCACGCAACCTCCCCCGGCCCTGTATCACCCCTAGATCCGCCCAACCCCCACCCCTGAGAATCGATAAAGTTGTGCCTGAGCCTTGATGATGGCAGCTGGACTGTGCAGCAAAATAACGAAAGAAAGGAGAAGTGCATGAGGGTGTGCGGACAGAGGCATCAGCACCGGAAGACGGCGGCATCGGCTAAGCGTGAACCTTCCTGAAAAGAGGCCTTGATGTCATGTAGACCTGAACAATTGCAGGTGCGAATGGCCAGCAGCTACGGATAGGATGTAGAAGACAGGGAGGAATACAATGGGAAAGAGGTCGGAAGACTCAGAGATTGGGAGAAAAGGGCGGCTTACATCTATGTCAAACATGGTGGCGAAAGTTGTTTTGGTGGCTTGTCCGCTGGTAGTCCACAGTGGGAACGGTTCTGGCTAGGGATGGTTCCCCTAGCAGCGGGCCTACATGGCCTTTGGCAGCGCCTGTAGTCTAACTGCTGTCGGGAGGTACTGGCTTCAAGTAGGGTTAGGTCGGGCCTGTCCCCCTACAGGCCGGTTTTGGACGGAAGATATATTCAAAAAATACATCCAAATGGCCCAGAAATATTCGAAAAATAGTTCCCAGACTATTTCTATACTATTTTTGAATATTCCTCCTGTAGAGGGACGTGCCCGACTTAAGTCTAACTGTTGTTGGGAGGTACTGGCTTCAACTAGGGGGCAGGGCAGCGTGGCTGGCATCAAAATAGCCTCCCTTCCTACCGCCCCAGCCTGTCCAACACCCGTGTACCCTGAACCAGAAGCCACAGCAATGCAGAGGCCTCTTCTGGGAGATTGTGAAGCCTCCTCCTCCTCCTCCTCCGCCTCCTCCTCTATCCTGCATTCTCTTCCTCCTCCTCCTCCTCCTCCTGCTGCTCCTCCTCCTCCTCCGCATCCTCCTCCTCCTCCTCCTCCTCCTCCTCCTCCTCCTCCTCCTCCTCCTCCTCCTGCGCTTTTTTTCCCCGTCGTTGTACGCTCGTGCCCGGCGGAATGGTCAACACTACCGACGACTGCTGCTACTACTGCTGCCGCTGCGCCGGCCCGGATTACTGCTGCGCCGCCCTCTCCCGGAAGGCGGGGGCGGTGGCGGGGTTCTCCTCCTCCTCCTCCTCCTCCTCCTCCTCCTCCTCCTCCTCCTCCTCCTCCTCCCTCGCACTGTCACAGACATCCAGCCGCTCCAATTTTTGTCGATGCATGGGCCCATGAGGTCTGGACCACTTCCCTAGGGCTGGTCTTCCGTCCCGGGTCGTTTTCTGACAGTCCCGAGGTCCGGCGAGGGCCCCCGGAGGCCGAGAACAGCCGAGAACCACCCGCTCCAAATTTTTGGGGGAGCGTCGGATCTCTGGGGTGGCACAGCACCCCTCCCCCCCAGGCATCGCCTGCCGCGCGCCGTCCCGAGCACGCGGGCCCTCGTCGCGGCCCGGGTGGACGAAGATACCTCGGAGGGCGATCTCCGATCACCCTCCTCGGCCCCTGGCCTTCCTCCGCCTCCTCCCTTCCTCTTCTCGTCCTTCTCCTCCTCCTCCTCCTCCTCCTCCTCCTCCTCCTCCTCCTCCTCTTTCTCCTCTTCCATGTCCTCCTCCTCCTCCTCCTCCTCCTCCTCCTCCTCTTCCTCCTCTTACATGTCCTTATCCTGGTCCTCCTCCTCCCCCTCCTCCACCTCTACCTCCACCTCTACCTCCAAAGTCTCCTCTCCCCCTTCCTCCTCCTCCTTTTCCTGCCTCCCTTCCGCCTCCGCATCCTCCTCCTCCTTCCTCCTGACTCCCTTCCTCCTCCCCCTCCTCCATTACGTTTGGCTAGTCTCTGAGGACAGGCTGAGATTGCAGCGTTCTTCTCTCCTTCTCCTCTCTTGCCTCTCTCTCATCCCTCCTTACCGCCTCTCCTCATCCTCCTGCCTCTCCTCCCTCGAACCATTGTCTTCTCGTTATCCTTCCTCCTCCTCTTCCATCCATCTCCTCTTCATATTCTTCTCATCTTCATCCTAATCCTCATCCTCATCATCATCACCTCTCCTTCTCATCCTCTCCTTCATCCTCCTCCCCATCATCATCAGCATCAGCATCATCAGTATCAGCTTGAGCATCATCCTCATCCTCATCCTCCTCATCCTCACCCTCATCCTCATCATCGTCATCATCATCGTCATCATCGCCATCATCATTAGCATCAGCATCATCATCAGCATCACCATCATCCTCATCCTCATCCTCATCCTCATCCTCATCCTCCTCATCATCATCATCATGATCATGATCATCATCAGCATCAGCATCAGCATCAGCATCAGCATCAGCATCAGCATCATCATCATCATCATCATCATCATCATCATCATCATCATCATCATCGACAACAGCAATAATCATTATCAGCATCAGCATCAGCAGCAACATCATCAGCATCATAATCAGCATCATCATCATTATCCTCATCCTCATCATCATCATCCTCATCATCATCCTCCTCATCGTCATCATCATCATCATCATCAACATCATCATCATCAGCATCATCATCATCGTCGTCAGTATCCACATCATCATCAGCATCTGACCTCCTGCTTCTTATTCTACTCCTCCTCCTCCTCCTCGCCCTCCTCCTCCTCCTCCTTGCCCTCCTCCTCCTTCTCCTCCTCCCCCGCCCTCCTCCTTCTACTCCTCGTCCTCCTCCTCGCCCTCCTCGGTCGCTGTCGTCCTCCTCCGCTTCCTCTCTGCTGTCCAAAGTGGTGGGGTGGGCTTCTGCGGCCCAGAAAATGAACAAATCGGCACCGAATATTGAATCACTTCCGACGGTTTCTTCGGGAAGCCATTTTCTAGATTTTGGGGCCTATCTGGAAGGACCGGCGACGCCCCCAAAATCAACGAATCGACACTGAACGTGTAATCACTTCCGATGTTTTTTTGGGGGGAGCACGTTCTAGATTTTGGGGCCTCTTTGGAAGGACTGAAAGCCATGCCGTGGCATGGCGCTGGAAATCATGACGCCAGCGCTGCAGCGGGAGCACGATTCGGAACGAGCGGTGGCCCGAAAATAAGGCCAGCGCCTCAGCGAGAGCATTTTCAAAGAAAAAACGAAAACCCGTTTCCCTGGAATCCTGTGTATAAAAAAACAGTGCGCGGAGGGGGGCTGGCCATTTCCCGGACGTCTCGAGGGGAAAGAGTAGTATTCAGATTGTGAAATTGTGGAGGAGGAGGAGGAGGAGGAGGAGGAGGAGGAGGGGAGGAGTGGAGGAGGAGGAAGGAGGAGGAGGAGGAGGTGGGAGGAGGAGGAGGAGGAGAAGGAGGAGGAGGAGGAGGCGGGGAGGAGGAGGTGTAGGGGAGGAGGAGGCGTGGAGGGGGTAGGGGGAGGAGGAGGGGGAGGGGGGTGGAGGGGGAGGAGGAGGGGAGGAGGAGGGGGTGTGGAGAAGGAGGCCCTGGAGGAGCAGGGGAAGGACGTGCCGTGCCAGTGTTCGTGAAGGCAGTGCTTGGCAACACGCTCAAGTTGCGGATGCCCGTGGCGGCCGAGTTCGTGGCGCTCCTGATCGACAGCGGCTCGCCACGGCAAGCAGAGCCTGCGCGTCGCGTCGCCGGCAGGGCTGGGGTGAGGGAGGAGCGCATCTCGGCGCCAGCGGAGAAGCCGCTGCCCGAGACGGTGATGGGCCCAGCGTGCCTGGTTCATCTAAAAAACGTCCTGGCCGTTCTGTCTGTGTTTCTTTTTTGCGTTTTCTAGCTTGCGCTCTTGACAGGCTGCATACGCTTAAAAAAAAAACACGCACCACGTTTTTGCTGATAGCGTTTTGCGCGCACACACGCTGGCACACGCGCTGGCAGCGTGCGTGCCACCTCTTCATGGCGACGTGCGCCGCAGAGGCCGCAGCTGGCGATGGGGCGGCGCAGCGCCGCAGGGCGGACCGGGACGCTCCGGGAGCCGAGCTCGACGGCATCCAGGACGTGAGCGAGAGGAGGATCAGGAGCGGCCAAGGGGGGGGCGTCCAAGAGGGGGGGGTGCAAATCATGGCCGGCGGCGTGCGCGCGGCCCAGGAGGGGGGGGGGGGCCCAGGGACGTAATGAAATAAGAAGAGCCACCATGAAAATAAGGAGAGCCACCACGACATCTGGGGAAAGATCATGACCCACGCCATGACATCCCCCCCCCCTTGTCATCACCCCCCTCTTTGCCGCCCCCGAGACGGCACTCATCCAGGGCTTCCGTGTGCCCGGGGCGTTCAAGGAAAAGCAGGCGACGAGCATCACATCTCTCACGAATCCAGTGCTTCAAACAGTGCGCAAGGCCTGCAGCATCCAGCTCGGGGCCGAGGCAGAGGTCGGGCTCGCGCCGCGCTCGAGCACCGAGCGGGTCCTCCAGCTCGCCGCCGACGAGTTCGAGTACGTGCAAGCTCCGATGATGGGCGACCGAAGGACGTAAACTTGGGAGTGTGGCCTGGCAGCGGTGGGATGGATACGCAGCGTATCACGTCTCGAGTGAGAGCCGCGCCGCAGACACGCGCAGCTTCTGCGCCCCCGATCGGCAACGCCGCACAGGCTGATGGTCGCACCCTTTTCGTGGCAGCTGGCGGTTTTGTTGGCAGCGCTGATGGTGGCAACTCTTGGGGACCGATGGCTGTATCCTCGATGCCTCCGACTCGGTGCGGGCTCCGCTGCCCGATGCAGCATCAGAAGCTGGACGAGGGTCGAACTCAGGCGAGTACCAGCCGTGCAGTGAGTTCGTGAAGGCTCCGTCGGCCGCGCCGCCTCTTCCTCCTCCTCCTCCTCCTCTTCCTCCTCCTCCTCCTCCTCCTCTTCCTCCTTCTTATTCTCCTCCTCCTCTCTTGAGGCTCAAAGATGTAGTCAAATGGGCGACCCGTCGATACCTTTTTCCAAGGATCATGTGTTTTTGCTGCAGCTTTGGTTGAACGAGTGTTTCCGCTGTGGGGCTCCCGCCGTGGGGCCCCA